GGTTATGGGTAAGGCCAGGCAACTTTTGTACACGTAAAAAGGGGAGTGACTCTAATGCAGAAAAAGGGGAGAAGCTAGTCGTGTCGAGGGAATGCAACTAAATATAAGAAGAATAACTAAATGGGGAAGAAACAAAAGAATGTAGGCTCACCGTTGGGGGGTATGAAGGGTAATATTGTGGGGACAAGAGGGAAAATGAGGGGGGTAACTCGTACTCACGATGGGACTTCACTCTGGCGAACACGTGGAATTCCACCGGCGCCTTGCACTCCTTCAAAATACCAGGGCGTTTTCCTGGAGAGCCTCCTTTCCACCTCGGGGTTTCCTGGGCACCAATACTAGAGCTGGGATGAGCTCGATGTATCGAAAATCCTCTTTTTATCCGCCAATACTTCCGGGCGAATTTTACTGTATTCACTATTACTACTTTCGGGGCACGTGGTGACTCACGGGGCAGCTATTGCACGAGTGACGGTCTCTTCTTTTCCTTCGCGATTCGTGGGGGTTCGTCAGGTGTCGATGTCCTTCGGGTTTTAATTCGGGAGCAATCGGGGCCAATCAGCACGGGTGAGTGGTGACGATGACCACAATCCAGGGATGTCTCGCAAGGGATTATTGCTGGTGGTGAATATTCGGGGGTCTAGTATGGGGAATTTCCAGGAGGCGATGGCTTCTCCAATTGATCGGGTGGGGCCGGAACTGATGTCTTCCTTCGGCTGGTGTCTTCGTGATGTCCAGGGGCAGGGGCAGAGGGGCGATGAGGGGAAAAGTGAGGGAAGGGGTATCCAACGGTGGCGGGATTTACCTTTTAGGGGGCAGTGTGTAGTGGGAAAAAATATGTAGAAAAATCATAAAAAATAAATGAATATGCCTCGTCACAATATAAAATATAATATATATTATATTATACATAATATATAATACAATATAATATATAGCAGATATATTATACATATATGATTTATATTTTCATTTTTTCAACTGTAAAAAAATTTATAGTTCCGTAAAAAAAACAGATATATAGGATAGTATATATGTATACAGTACATAATAAATCCCTAAAAATGAATAAGAACGTAAAAAGTGAAAGAGAAACGAAGAAGAAGATGAAGAGGATTATAACGATTCCGAATAAATTATTCAACAATTAAATTCTCATTCTGAAAAACTTTGTTGAAGCCATTCATTTTTTCTGCATTATTATTATTGAGATAAAAATTAATGAAAGTGAGAAACGGTAAGGTTTTACTATTCTGGCACCCATGGAAAATAATACGCGCGCGCCCTGTTCTAGTCAATTGAAAATTGATAGATCAAGATCATGGAGGTCATGAGCCCGTACAGCTATATGAGCATATAAATTTAAATTTGAATTCATATGTCTCATAGAGGTTGAAATTAAGTCAAAGTTATTCAGAACATTCACCATGACGCTTTCCTACATTGATTTTGATCATATCAAATTTAAATGTTGAATTTGAATAGTATATGAATTTAATAATATTTTAAATCCTTGTCACCTGGTACCAAAAATACTTCACAATTTGAGCCCTAAAAGGCCAACAATTTAATAGTAAATGCAGAGTCTATTTCCAAACTTCAATTCTGAACTGTGTGAGGCGAGGGGCTGGTCACTTAGAAAATCACTGGACCACTCGATTGGAAATTAAAGAAGCAATCACCAAAAATCACTGGAAATCAAGTGCTTTCCATTTCCGGTGGCGATTTCTAATGACTTCTGGAAATCATCGGGAATCAGTAGAAATCATAACGAAATTAGGTGATTTCAGAAGTAATTAGAAATCATCTTTGAATATGAAATATAACTCTTGTAATATTTAACCCTAAGAGCGAGATGTGACCCTCGCGGACGTACAATCCTCGTGGTGCATAACCGTCGCGAAGTTTCACGGTGTATGATAAAATGTAACGTTATGAGGTTGACCTGTTTTGACATCCTCACGTATTACAACTTCATATAGAAAACTGCAATTATCGACAGAAGCCTCAGTTTGATCCTGAAATCATGATTTTTCGAGTGCTTTTTGAACTCAAGAAATCCTTATAATTTTCTAGAAGTCATAGAAATCCGAGAAATCAACAGAAATAATGATTTCTAATTCCTATCGAGACATCACAGAAATCATTCCAAATCACAGAATATCATCCCATTCTGGAAATGGCTGAGCCACCTGACTGAGGAGTAATCAGCCTCTCGAGAACATGTAAAGGGTGCATTCAAATATTATGTCACACCAATGGTGGGGGGGGGGAGGATCAGTCGTTGTGACACTTTGTGACGACCCGGGATGAAAAAATGAGAGTCTTTGAGGGTCTTGCATCTGCGTCTGTCAAAGAGTATTGCTCAGCGCCAGTATACATACTTTTGAGAGACTCTTCGCAAGAGACTGTGCGATACTATTGTATTGGCCGACCAGAACCAAGCGTCTATGGGCGAGAGACTCTGGGTCTCTCACCGGTTCCAATAATTAATTAATCATTAATAACTCCCCCAATTATATTGGTGGAGTATAATTAAGTACATTAATGTACGTAATCCGTCAATCTAATCATGATAGTAAAAACAAAAAAAAGAATTCGACCTAACGGTCTNCTATGGGCGAGAGACTCTGGGTCTCTCACCGGTTCCAATACTTAATTAATCATTAATAACTCCCCCAATTATATTGGTGGAGTATAATTAAGTACATCAATGTACATCAGTTACTATCCCGGCTCGATGCTGCTTAACTTCGATGATCGCTGAATGTCCGGGAGTCCTCTAGGCCGTGCTGTTCCTTCTGACACTGATAATACTTTTTGGGCTTATATAGGCAATTCATGGAACAGGTATGATAGTGCTATGTGTAGTGGGGTAATGTAGCCTAGTGAATGGAAGGGAAAATAAATGAACAATGAGGTTAAATAGGATATCAGGGTAAATTTAACAGTGGGGTTAAATGGGATATCGGGGTAAATTGAGCAGAGGTAAGTGGGGTAAAATCGTATATCGGGGTAGTTTGGACGGTGGGGTCGAATGGGATATCGGATAAGTTAGCAGTGGGGTAAAATGGTATACCGGGGGAAAATGGACAGTGGGGTAGAACGGTATATCGGGGTAAATTGGTCAGTGAGGTCAATTGGGCAGTGGGATAAAATGGTATATATCGGGGTAATTTAAGCAGTGACAAAGATCAGGGTTTCAGGGTGGTTTAAACAGTGATAAAAAACGGGATTTCGGGGTAAGTTAACAGTGGGGTAAAACGGTATATCAGGGTAAATCGGGCGGTAGGGCAAAGCGGACAGGATAGTTTGCACAATAGAGTAAAACGGTATACCGGAGTAAATTGGGCAGTGAGGTAATACGGCCAATTACACAGTAGACAAACAGATAGTGCAGTAAAATGGGATACTGCCGGAAATTGAACGATCAGTAAATCGCGGCGAGGGATGGAATGAAGGTGAAGGGAGGGGGGAGGGAAATTAAACATGTAGTGATGCGGAATCGACATGACCCTTGCGACGTTTGACCCTCGTGAGATGATTCTCTCGACGCTTGACCCTCGAGCGGGATGTGCTAACGACGTTTGACCTTCGGGAGATATGACCCTTGCGACGTTTTATCCTCGCGAGATATAACCCTTGCCTCGCTTGGCCCTTGTGCGGTTAGTGCTTCGGACGTTTGATCCTTGTCGGGTATGATCATTGAGAGGTTGTGCCCTCGCGAGCTATGACCCCCACGAGATATATGACCCTTGTAAGGCATGACGTACGAAGTATGACCCTCATGATATTTGACCCTTGCGAGGTATGATCCTTGAAACATATCACCCCAATATCTAATTTGATTAGTGATCAATAATCTCAATCAATCTGGTCTAATTAATGAGAGAATTAGATTTACCACAAAAAAATTCCAAATCCCGATCTCTCGATCAGAGACTCCAGTATCTGGCGCGGAGGCAAAGACTCATACATACTCGAGTCTCTCACCAAAGACTCTTCGAGATGCGTGACCGATTCCGAGAGACCCAGGCAGACTGATTTCAGTCTCTCATAGTCGTGGGCAGACTCGAGAGACTGAAAATTTTTATCCCGGGGAAATGCGGGTAGAGGTTGTTCAGGTTGTGACGTTACACCATATGATTTTCCAATTTTTAATCGACGAAATCTTGAACCGAATTTTGTTCTTATCCCCTTTCCTCATGAAGAAAATAGCTTCCATGTGGAAGCAACAAAGGTTTCGGTAGTTCTAAAAACTATCCCAAAGATTCATAAAGAGGCATTTTGGAAAGCTGTGATAGCAATAATTTAATAAGTTACAACATGTTCAAAACGCGTATACATATTCAATTGGTCGCCTAAGAATTTTGCGTTCTCCTTCTTATTCCCATTTTTCAACTTCAATTTTATGAAGAAAACTGAAAAATTCGCTACAACAGAGAGAGGGAGTTATAGTTTTTGTGACGTAATACAGAGGGGGGTCCTTGTTTGTGGCAGCTTGTGACGGAAGGGTGGAAGGCAGTCTAAAAAGTTCAAACGTGTGTGAAGTATTATTTGAATGGCTTCTAAACTACTAAAAAATGCGTAGATTGAGATTAAACTAGAACAGCCTCAAAACTATCTTCAAATTGTGTCGACAGAGACCAAAGTCATTAACTCTAGTTTGGTCACCTGGTTTTTGATGTTTTTATTTGAATCGCACTACCAGACTTAAATGGAAAATCATCGAAAAAAAATGTTTCAAAATTGTTTAACTTTTTAATAACGGACATGATTTTTTGCAGATTTTTCTAGTCAACCCTCTAATTAATATAACAAAATAAAAATGAGCTTTGCGGTGATTCCTTCGTATGGTGACCAATTTAGGGTTAAAAAAATAAAAGCTAAGCTCTTAACAAAAATTACGCATTCCATTTTATCACTTTGCTAGTGGATTGATGCTCACTGTCATAGTAAATATCAAATGGACGTTGAATCACAATTGATGGAAATTTCAGTATTTGAAGGAAGGTGGGTACGCCACCCACATGGTTGGAAAATGGCACTTGGGTTTCTATAAAAAAGAATACACACCCACATTTCGAGGTTTTGATACACATTTTGGATTTTGGAATGGGCATCAGGATTATTACAGCTACGAATTCGAGTCCCACGTACGTGCCAATTATTACCTTCTAATACAATAATATATGACGGAAATTTAGGCTTTGTTCATTATTTTAGGATGGTTATCGTGGTTACGATATGAGAAGTAATATGTTAGTTTCATACGAAGCTAAAAATCTGTACTCCACAGATCTTTACACAGACGAGACAGTTCGATTGATTGACACACACGATAAAAGTACTCCAATGTTCATATATCTCGCACATGCCGCTGTACACAGTGCAAATGGATACGATCCCTTCCAGGCGCCAGATCAAGAAATAGCGCAATTCTGGTATATCAGTGATCCAGAAAGACGTAAATATGCTGGTAATTTTGTTATTGTATATTTTAGTAGTGAAAAATCGTTGCTGAGTACCCAGGTAGGAAATTCCAGTGTTGGACAAACCGGCCAAGTGCGGCACAAGCCTGGGCTTGCCAAGCTTTGGCGCCCAAGCTTGGTCTGATGTTCGACCATCCATCAAAGAGCCGGTATTGACAGATCTTTCCCAGCCTTGGGCTGAACATTGGCATTAGGGCTATCCAAGCCCCAACCAGTGGTGGCCCGGAATTAATGATGCCGCGAGACACTTTACGAAACAAAACTTTGGAGATATGATCTTGGTCTCAATGAACATGAAAATCTTTGCTCTCATCCCAGTCTCCAAATAGGCGTATCGACTCCTCTCTTGATGACTCTGAGTCAATTTATCTCATCTCGGTCTCAAGTTTTTCGTGTTTTTTAATGTGAAATCTCGACTTTTGTCTCGGTTTGTCTCGTCTCGGTTTTCTACATATAACAAATGCGCAAAACTGGAAACCGAGATGAGATCAATTGACTCGGAGTCATCACAAGAGGAGTCGATACAGCGCATTTCAAGACTGAGACGAGATAAAAAATTTCCATATTTACTGCTACAATCCCTCCACAGTATTGTCTCGTGATGTCTCGTCAAATGTCTGAGGAGTAATATTGAATTACTTGTATCGCAATCACTCATATCATATTCATGTAATAAAGTAATGTTCAATTGAGCCTGGTCAACGTCTGACCGCCAACGCTGGGCCGAGATTCGTGCCCAGGTCTGGCCCCACGTTATTATCCCAGGTTTCAATCAATTCCGGTGCGGTCCCGGCTGAGGAACGAGCCCCGAACTTCGGCAATCCGGCTGCCGTGCTTGGATCGAGCCCGGCTCGTTCGCTTTTTCCTACCTGGGAAACCATATGAATATCAAAACAACAGAAATTATGGAAAATTACGACATATATATTTTGTGGTAATTAATTGGAACTTAGTCGTTTTCGGAATCACTTTGTAAGTCAAGACGTCATGAAGCCAGCTAGGTACCACTTCATTGGCCGCACTCAAAAATAAAAGCTGGTGTTTTTGCTCTAATCATGTGTATGGGACAATTATAATAAGGTTTCTCTTCACTTTTTTTTTCAATTTATCCAGGTGTTTCTTCCAAATTTTTTTTTTCTTATTTTGACGTATTTCATCGAGACACTGACATGACAGTGAAACGGTTGAACCCTCCACCTTCCCTTGCCTGGTAGGGTTTTTAATTGTTCTATTGACTTGTTCGTAATAAAGAAAAATGAAAGTTCGAAACAGAAAAGGTTTTTCGAAAAAAAACTCAAGTCGATAAGTTAGAAAGAATTGTACAGTGTGAGGGAAGTGCTTTTGTAGCTCAAAAAATTTCCGCCAGAAAAGATCCCTTGATAGCTTATGCAAAAGTGATTCATTATCATAGGAATACATACATAATACCAGAATTATTACAGTAGAGTTCTCTCTATTTCCTCGGCTCGGGACGTGTCCTTGAGTGAATTTAATATGAAATCTAAATAATGGAATTTCTCCCACTCTGTCACTGTAGAGCGCATTGGAGAGGGAAGGTAGATGGTGGGTAGGGGGAATTGCAGTAGTGGGAGAGAAGCAACATAACTTACGACTGTCCCCATATGGCAACCATCCCGTTACTGAAACATTGCGTAATTCTACGCGCATGACGTCGAAAACACGGTTGCAGAATGCATGAGGAGTGGGAGAACTTTTCTGAGGGGGAGCAAGCGAAGAGGAGAAGAGAGGGAAAATAATGGAAGCTGAAAATAGAAGGAACTCTACTGTATAATAAAACGGGTTAACTTATTGCGTTGCAGCCCTTCAAAAAGAATTTATCACTCGACATACAAATGAAAATAATAAAATACTTAATTCTGTTTACCTTCAGCAATGGTCTCAAAATTGGATCAGAGTGTGGGCGAAGTTGTAGCAGCCCTTCGTCGACGAGAAATGCTGCAGAACAGTATTATTCTATTCCTTTCAGATAATGGCGCCCCTACTGTTGGTTTTTACCATAATGCTGGAAGTAATTATCCTTTACGTGGGGTAAGAAACTGTTTTTTTATGGAGAGAATTGTTCGGATTTCGGAATAGAAGTCAATCATCCATATAACTTACTTGATTGACGATTTAATTATCTCGGTTATGATTGATTCTAGAAGAGAATGTCATGAGGTGTGTGTGATTATTCTTTAAATCACGTGTACGTTTCGAGCTATTGACATTAACTTCACTCGAAAGAATAAAAAACTAAATATCAATTTGATTGAATTGTGATTTTTTTGTTTTTCTTTTTTTTATATCAATTGATTAATTAATGACACCACAACACGGTTAGTTTATCAGGAGATCAAATTTAATCATAATAGGGTTTTTTCGTTGAAAAGTTACACAAATCACTTTCAATCATTTTCAATATTTTTAAGATCAAAGCGACAGTTTGGGAAGGAGCAGTACACTGTGCCGCAGCAATTTGGAGTCCTTCAATAAATCAAGCTCAGAGAGTAAGTGATCAACTCATCCATATGTCAGACTGGCTCCCCACATTACTATCTGCAGCGGGTATGTTGCATTAGACATGTATTATGTGCTAAAATCGTTAATAGTGTATTGAATTATTATTTCGGACACTAAGATAAAAAATTACTTCTATTGAAGAATTATATGATCAAGCAGAACAGATTTGCTTCAGGTAAATAAACCGCTTCGTCGAAAAAAATTGGAAATTTTTCACAAATATAACATTTTTGCCATGAAAGTTCGAACTGTTCGTAGAAACAATCGAAATGTTTGCGGAAAAATATATAATTTATGATTCGGAGGTAAAAAGGATTTCATCACAGAAAGAATAAATTGATGATGAATAAATTTTCACGACAACGATTATTATGTTCTCCTCGGAATTATTTAATTAAGACATTTTTAGCTAAAAAATTCAAGTTTTCTGAATATATGAACATGTGGAGTTTCTGTGATTATGCGTACGTTTGGACTTGCTGTGTATATTAGGTGTACGAATAAGTTTTAGGACACTTCGATTCCGTGTCATGAAAGTAATTCAAAGTTACCGCTTACATATGATATGGTGGGATTTATTATGTAGTATTAAAACATAAGGGAGTCATAAACATAACCTTAAATTCTGTGAATAAAACAATGCAGACCGATAAGCTATTTATTAGACTGCATTCGCTATGAATTCCATCAAGGAAAAACTGTTAGGAAAGCATGTCAATCAATTTCTTCTGTTCCTGGGGACAATACTGTATCTAAAAGTACATGTGAGTATTGGTATAAGCGATTTAAAGAAGGTGATTTCGACGTTAGTGACCGTGAACGTACTGGGGTCCCTGTAAGGGTGGATGACCAGGAACTCCAAGCGTTGCTGGATGAAAACTCTTGCCAAACGGAAAAACAACTTGCAAAACAGCTTAGAGTAACTCAACAGATCATTTCTTATCGCTTAAACGCAATGGAAAAGATTTGAAAAGGAACAAAGTGGGTGCCACACTTTTTGACTCAAGAGAATAAAGATAGCCGACTTGACATATGTCTGAATCTTTACAATAAGCAACATAGAAAGTCGTTTTTGTGGAAAATTGTTACGTTGTGCCACACCCGGCGTATTAACCAGACTCAGCTCCAACTGATTTTCACTTGTTTCGGAAGATGCAAAACGAATTGACTGATGTACGATTCAAAACATTTGAAGAAGTGCAAAAATGGGTCGATAATTTCCTCGTCTCGCAAGATGAAATTTTCTTTGCGGAAGGCATCCGTGAATTACTTAACAGATGGCTGAAGGTCATTCAAAATGATGGAGATTATTTTGATGAATAAATGTAGTTTATTTTTTTTCGAAAATGAATTTTAAATTTTTTGCAAAGTGTCCTAAAACTTATTTGTACACCTAATATATGAGGTATTCCATGTGAACCCACCCAGGTCTAAACCCTCACCGTCGCCAATCATATTGCCGATTTTTCCTGTGGTTTGTATAGAAAAATATGACTTCTCAAATTTTTTCGGATTTTTTGAGACATCCTGTGGGCAGCCATGTTTTTTTTTTCAAGTTTCATCTTCAAATGCCTGTAACTTCCGTAAAAATCAACTGATTTGAGTTTTTTTAAATAAAATGTGCGTCTTCAAAGACAGTCTCCATATAAAAATATGTCAATTTTTTTCAATTCGTTCTTCCACCGATTTCCTCAGAAAAACCTCAAAAAACTTAAAAAAACGAGTCGTTTTCAAAGTTGGACCCTTTTCATATTTTTCAAAAAATTTCAGTGAATATATTGGACCAAAATAAAATTTTTCACCAAAGGCCGAAGTGAGATCTCTATTAGAACACACCACTCGAAAAGATTTATTGTTAATGAATTTCCAAAAAATCATCAAATTGTTTNAAATAAAATTTTTCACCAAAGGCCGAAGTGAGATCTCTATTAGAACACACCACTCGAAAAGATTTATTGTTAATGAATTTTCAAAAAATCATCAAATTGTTTCAGATTCGAACATAATGCAGTGATTCTTCAGGCGGTAAATTTAAATAATGCTTCTGCGTTCAAATACGAAAATAATTTTGAAATTTTTGAAATTTCTCATCCCGGATTTATATATTCAAATTGGAAATGACGGCCACGAAATGGGAAACCCACTTTGGCTTTTGGTGTAAAGTTTTGTTTTGGTCCAATATATTCACTGAAATTTTTTGAAAAATATAAAAAGGGTCCAACTTTGAAAACGACACGTTTTTTTAAGTTTTTTGAAGATTTTCTGAAGAAATCGATGGAAGAACGGATTGAAAAAAAATTGGCATATTTTTATATGGAGAGTGTGTTCGAAGACGCACATTTTGTAAAAAAAAAACTCAAATCGGTTGATTTTTACGGAAGTTACAGGCATTTGAAGATAAAACTTGCAAAAAAATATGGCTGTCCACAGCCATATTTGGATGCCTCAAAAAATCTGAAAAAATTTGAGAAGTCATATTTTTCCATATACAACCGCAGGAAAAATCGGCAATATGATTGGTGATGGTGAGGGTTTTGACCTCGATGAGTTCACATGGAATACCCCATATACACTGAGAGAAATCCATCCTTGATTTCAAAGACGGGCTCGACTACCCAATCCAGGTAGGAATTGACGATGGAAACAAGGCTCATCAAGCCCTGAATCAAGGCTCGAAAATTCTCAATCAGGACTGGGGTCCAAGCTTGGATCAGCCCTCATTCAGCCACAAAATGATAACCATAATTGAGGCTTACTTTCCAAGGCTCGATCAAGGCCTGATCCAAGCCTTAAATTGAGAAATTTTAAAGGCTCAATCGCGCTTCTTTCTAACAAATTATATTATTATTTACAGCCATTTGTTTGAATGATTTCTGATTCTTTAATCAGCTTTTCTGTCGATTTCAAAAGCTCCATAAAAAACGGGGTAGGCCCGTCAGTAATGGTGGTCGACAACCCGATAAACGTTAATTGTAATGATTGATTAATGAACAATGGATTTTTAAAAAGTCATCAACATTGTTATTTTTTATCAATTATTTGTACATTTTAACACTCGAAAAATTGCTCCTACTCGAGGAGATTCGATCCGGCGTGCTTCTGATCCATAGTCCAGCGCGTCTCGTATAGAAATTCAAGCGGGGATGCGGCTGAACCTCCGCTCGAGCCGATCGCTAAGCCCGGGCTTGATTGTACAGCAAGCTAGGATTGAGCGGAGAGATTTCTACACTCGGTTTCCACTAGGCCATCTGAAACTTCTTACGACGAGATATTTTCATCGAGTGTAAAAACGCAACGTGGTGTTCTTTTATTTATCCGTAAATAAAACTATAGCAGTCTCCCTATTATTCTTACTCCTTATGATTTTAGTTGGGGAAGTTGACTTTCCCTACCACTGAGTCCGTTCACGTGTAGTGGTAAGTGCGTGTGTCCCGCTGCGCGACGGGAATGCGCAATGGGATACTCTTCGGTGCCACCCGTCATGTGTTATGTATAGCCTTGTGTTTTGTCGTTTATAACCTCAACATGTCCTCGGTGAAAACAAATTTGAACAGGAAATCTCCAGTTTCAGTGGAGTTACACATTAAAATAAAAGCCGTAGACGAGGTAACAAGTGGGACTCCAGTTTCAGCGATTGCTGAAAATCTCAACATTCACGAGGCCACTATGAAGTCTTGGGTAAAATAAAAAGACAAAATCGAGAAATGAAAAAACGAGCTCGAAAATGTTATTCCTCAATCAACAAAAAGATTGGGGAAATCAGTGAACATCTTGATGGATAGAGTACTGTGGTGTTTGATAATAAAAACACTTAAACAGACAAAAGAACCATTCCAATCATTTCACCCTCGGGATTTCATTTCATTTGACAGGTTGAGGTTATGGTTGTTTCCACTACAGGAAAAGTGATAAAGACGGATTCCACTCTCTCTCTCCCTTTCTCCCTCTCTCCGTCTCTCGCCCCCTCTCGCTCTCTCTCTGTCTCTCTCTCTGTCTCTCTCTCTGTCTCCCTCTCTGTCTCTCTCTCTGTCTCTTTCTCTGTCTCTCTCTCTGTCTCTCTCTGTCTCTCTCTCTCTCTCCGTCTCTCTCTCTGTCTCTCTGTCTCTCTCTCTGTCTCTCTCTCTCTCT